GGGGGGGGGGGGGGGGGGGCTCCATTTAGGGGTGATTATTGCTGCTGGTGGGGTATGTGCGGCAGGGGCAGCCTAGGGCTCAGGGTGTAGCCAGGAGCTGAGCGGCGGCTGGGGCGAGAGGGGTCTGTCACTGTGGTGGAGATCACTGCTGGGCCCGTGTCACCCGTGCTGTCCGAGGGGTTCCAGTAGGGCTGCCAGGAAGTTACCAGCACGAGGCAGAGATGGAAAGAGGGTAGGGGCGGGGGTGGGGGGCCCAGAAGCCTGCCGCCCGCCAGGGGAACAAGAGCCAGTGGCTAAATGCAGACATACGGTCATGGTGCTGAGGGCCTGAGTCACTGCTCCTGGACCTCGGATCTCGTTACCCACCCCCGCCCACCGTTCCTCCTCCCCTTCCTCCTATCTCTGAGGCATCGCCCGTGCATGTACTGGATCTACGGACGTCAGTGGCCAGGGGGGACCTCAAAAGGTCATCAAGGCCATTCCCCTGTCTCTGGCAATGCTCTCCCTCCAGATCACAGGGATAGAAGGAACTTCAGAGATGATCCAGAACCTCGAATCCCAAACCTACCAGGGCATCCCAACCATCCGGGGGGGAACGTTCGACAAACACAGACTCTTCCCTCTGTGCGCCAAGATTCTGATTTGGGGTCTTGGGAAGGGACCAGGAATCTATTCCCATCAGGTCCCCACACAGCCAGCCCTCAGGCCTGTGTTTGGAAACCACTCATCACTCAGCAGGTATTTACTGAACACCTACTATGTGGGGGGCACCGTTCTAGGCTCTGGGGGACTCACGATGAATGAGGCAGAGAGAGCCCCCTGCGCCCATGACTCCTCCTGGGGCAGAAGAGGACACCGACACTCCGAGTGGTGAGGGAGCAATGGGGGTGGCAGAGCTGTTCTGGCACCATGCCTGCTCTTCCCCCCGCCTGCTGCTGGGACATGACGCAGGAAAATGCCTTTTGGAGGGACTTTGCTGCCCTTTCCCCAGCTTCCTGGTGCTCCCAGGGCTGGGAGGTGAGGCTGGCCCGGCCAATGCCGGCTGTGGGATTGTAGCCTATTCAACAGTTTTCCTGTTACTGTACACAGTCAGCAGGTTGTGGCAGCAAGGTGACAGCGGGCCCAGGCCCACCAGGTCCAGGCAGAACACCAAGCCCGCACCCCACCTCCCACCACCTCCCACCACAGGCACACGCGCTCCTGCTTTGGATGGACTTGGCCAGGCATCCGGGGGCAGAGAGCAGCTCAGGGTGCCAGGATTTTAACACGTCACGGAAGGGCCATGATGATTTTCACAGAGGAGCTTTGGCGGGGGGGAGGGGGTGGCGGGAGGGCAGTTACCCCAAATCTCTTTCCCAAATCTTTCCAAAAGCGGCATCAGACCCAAATCGATTGCTTTGTGCTCAAACCCTTGCCCTGGCTGATTAAAGCCACAGGGACTGGAGGAACTCCAGGGAGGGGGGGAGCCAGGCAGCCTAGGGCTGGGTTCAGCCTCTGCTGTGTGACTTTCGACACGTGCTGGCACCTCTCTGATCCTCGATCAGAGGCTGTGAAATGGTGATACCGCCCTTGATTCATAAGGCCGTGGGAGGATGAACAGTGTTGCAAACACGAAGGGCCTGGCATGCGGCAGGCACATAACCTTGTTCCCTCACCATGTCTCTCGTGCCCTCACTGCTACCCTCTGCTGGGGTGGGACCGTCTGTGGCTTTCACTCGGCATTATAGTTTGAGAGGGCAGTTTTCTGAGACCAGAAGGGCCGGATGTGAGGATCAAGTTCAAGTTCCTCCCCAGGCCTCGGGGGTCTGTGGTGCCCCAAATTGCTGCCCCTGCTCCAGCTTGTAGGTCTGTCCCCAACCCCCGATCTCCGAGCAAGGTGGGCAGTGGAGAGTGTGCGGGCTGGAGTTTGACCAACCTGGTTGGGCATTCCGGCTCTGCCCTCGGTGTCTGTGACCTTGGAGCGGAAGCATCACCCCCCAGAGACTCCAATTTCTTTAAAATGGGATAATACCTCCCACCTCGTTGGGTTTCTGTGAGCGCTCACGGATTTGGGGGAGGGTTGAGCACAGAGCCTGGCACACAACCAGGGGACAGCAGCAATGGGGCCCCTCGCCTTTGCCCAAGGTCTTCCTCCAGCTCCACTGGCTTTCTCCCCTCTCCCTTCTCTGCTGCTGCTGCTGCTGCTGCTGCCTCTTTGAGTTTATTTACTTATTTTGAGAGAGAGAGAGAAAGAGGAGAGCGAGTGGGGGAGGGGCAGAGGGAGCATCCCAAGCAGGTTCCATGCTGTCAGCCCCAAGCCTGACGCGGGGCTCAATCTCACCAACCGAACCATGAGATCATGACCTGAGCCCCAATCAGGAGTCGGATACTTAACCGACTGAGCCACCCAGGCGCCCCTCTTCTCTGCTTTTTTAAACCCTTTCCATGCCCCGATCTGAGAATCCAGGGCCCTGACCCTCAGCCCCCCGCAGATGACCCCTCCCTGTCCTGCTGGTGTGCAGGAGTTTCTCTCTCCCATGTCCCCCAGCCCACAGCAGGCACCTGCAGCATACTTGAGTGCCACCCTCCGTGTGGCTGTCCTGGGTTTCGGGAAGCTCCTGCTTCTGGTCCCCCTTGGCCGCTCTGGCCTGCACGGCTCAACCGGCCTGGGCAGTTCTGGTTGGTTTGTCAAGGACATTCTTAATGGCCACGGTAAACCCTTGCAGGGCGGGGAGGGAGGGAGGCCTAGGATGTTGATTGGTGGAGCGCAGACCTGCTCAGGTGCATCTAGGCTGCAGGCAGAAGTGTCTCTGTTAGAGGAGGGCTGGCTGGGGCCACAGCAGGGCCAACGGACAGAGGTGAGGGGCTGCTGGGTGTGGAGCCGGGGCCTGGGTTGGGTGGAAGCTGGGCCAGGGCAGGTCGGGCTGGGGCAGGAGGCTGGGGGGCAGGGGGCCAGCACCTCGTTTCAATCTTCACGGGCTTTCCTTCAGCGCCTGCGGTTTACCTGCCTCTGTGGCCTGAGCAGAGGAGAGGGGGGCTCAGGGATGGGCAGGGGGAGTCAGAGCAGCCCCTGGGGACCCCACAGAGTGAGTGACTCCGCGGGGCAAGGAGATTGCTCTGAGCAGTGGAAGGAGCCAAGCAGGAGCTGTGTCCACAGCAGGGGAAGGGAGTTCTGAGGCTTGGGGTCCTGCCTTGATCAACATGGTACTGGACACAGGGCACAGTTAGGAACCCCGGTCCCCACCCCGCATCCTCGGCGGCACCCCCTTAGTGATGAGGGCACAGCAGACCTATGTCCCCTCCTGGTAACTTCACACACACACACACGCACACATGCACACACATGCAAACAGGAAAACGCTTTTCCTTTTTATCTGGGAAGTAGGGACATTGGAAGGGCCAAGTGGCAGGGTAAAGCCACTGGAGCAGCTTACCAAGGGTCTGTCTGTCTGTCTGTCTGCTCAGGGACCCGATGGAAGAGCTGGTAGGGCTGCGTGAGGGCTCCTCGGGGAGCCCTGTGACTCTTCAGGAGCTATGGGGCCCGTGTCCCCGCATCCGCAGAGGCATTCGAGGTGAGAGCTAGGTCCCTTCCTCTCCCTATCGAAGATCCCTCAGGACGTCACCCCTGTCTACCCAGACCCCACCTCCCCCACCCACCTTGAAGTCCAAGAGCTGCCCTGCCTTGATGTGCCCACAATCACTGGGCGGCCGGGAGGGAAGGGATCTGTCTGCCTGTCCCTTTGCCTATGGGTCAGACGTGCTAGATGTCTGTTGTCTGCCTTTGGGGAGAGCAGGTCCCAAGGCCTGATGGCTATACTGGGGGCTTTGCTCTGGGCCCAGTGGGTGCTGCCTGGTCTGACACCGGTGTGGCCTGTAGGATGGCCCCACGGGTCTGGAGACATGGAGGGGTCCTGCTAGCCCCTTGTGTTCTGTAAGCCGTGGGCCCTGCGGAGACACTGGAGAAAGCTGTGGCTCTCAGCACACACTCCCCACCCCCTGCTGCCCCATCATTCTTCCATGAGTATCCAGTGTGGGTGGGGGGTGGGTGGGGAGGGTGCCAGGCCTCTGTACCCCACCAGGGCCCACCGTGCGGCCACCTTCACTTGTCCAAGTTCCTGCTCTGCCCCTCGTGTGCAGACCCCCTTCTGGGCCACCCTGGGCTTGACCACATGGCCCCAGCCCCACATTGCCCCTGCCCTCCCTGCCCTGAGCCTGAGCAGGCCTCCAGGGAAGGGGCCGTGCTTGCCCCACCCCTGTCCCGGGCTATGACCCAGTGCCCCTGCCCCAGGGGGCCTGGAGTGGCTGAAGCAGAAGCTGTTCCGCGTCGGGGAGGACTGGTACTTCCTGATGACCCTTGGGGTGCTCATGGCCCTGATCAGCTACGCCATGAACTTCGCTATCGGGCGCGTGGTCAGAGGTAACCCCTCCCTGGCACGCACTCCTGCTCTGGACACAGGCTTCCACGCATGCTCTCGGGATGCCACATGGGCCGCCAGGTGCATCGCGGGTGGAGGAAGGCTCCGGGTAGGGAGGAGGCCTGGGTCTGTGCAGGCGCTGCTCTTGATTTGCTGTGCAACCCTGGGCAGGCTCCTGCCTCTCTATGGGCCTCAGTCTCCTCATCTGCACGATGAGCAAGAGAGGCCCGGATGTGCCCAAGAGCCCTTCGTCCTCCGAGCTTCTGCCCACCTGTTCTTGCTGCCCCTGTTTCTTCTCCTCCCTCCCTCCTTGCTCTCGGCTCAGTAGCTCCGGGCGAGGGCACTTGCTCAAGCTACCAGACACAGACCTTTCTTTTCCCACGCCTCAGCAGGCTCTCTGCACCCTGAGATCTCCCAGGAACCGGGATAAGGGGGCAGGAAGGTTCTAGCACCCCTCTGGTGGACTTGCTCAGGGGCTCTCCTGAGCACCTGCTATGCACATGCCCCGGCCATCATCTGAGAGCTTTCTCACAATGACCTTGGGAGGGAAGTCCCACTGCTAGCCCATCTGACAGATGGGGAAGCAGAGGCTCACAGAGGTTAAGTCACTTGCCCAAGGTCACTCAGCTAGGGAGCGGTGACACTGGAATATAGACCCAGGGTCCTGTGTCTCCCTCCATTTGGGGATCTGCTGCTCCCTGGGTGGCCCCGGGCCTCCCCTCTTTGAGCCTCCACTTCCTGGGGGGGGGGACACCTGAGGGCTGTGATGGCTCCCTGACTCCCGGGTGTCCCCAGCACACAAGTGGCTCTACCGGGAGATTGGGGACAGCCACCTGCTCCGGTATCTCTCCTGGACTGTGTACCCTGTGGCCCTGGTCTCCTTCTCCTCTGGCTTCAGCCAGAGCATCACACCCTTCTCTGGAGGTGAGCCATTTGCCTGTGTGCTTTGTACCGCGGAGCCTCGTGCCAAAGCCTTTTCCTGTCCCTCGCGGCTTCTGATGGGGGGAGGCAGGAAGCAGTGACCCCATTTCACAGCCAGGGAGGCCAGGCTCAGGGGAGTCGTGTCACTGCCCCAGAGTCACACAGCGAGAAGGCCAGATCTGGACTCTTGGCTCACTGCTGACTCTGCTTCCTTTCTTAGGGCTCTTCTGGGTGGTGACGGGGAGCCCTGGTGGCAGGTTCCCCAGGGAGGAGGGGCACAGCTCCCCCAGGGCCTCTCAGCTCTGCCTCCAGCTCCAGGCCAGCGCTGGGGAGCTCCAGGGGCACATCCGCGGGTGGTCTGAGCTTCTGTCCTGGGTTCCCCCCACCTTGCCAGAGTTGTCCGCCAGGCTCAGCTGGAACGACACGGGCAGCTCACGTCCCCCTCTCTGACCCTCACCTGTGCAAATGAATTTGCAAATCCCAACTCAGGGTTTTGGAGGACCCGACAGGTTCACAGCGTGGAACATTTTGCGCAGGGTGAAGTGTTAAGAGTCTAATCTGGAGACTGTGCCTCCTCTTGCCCCACTGTCCATCCCCTGCCAAGGTTCTGGAATCCCAGAGCTGAAGACTATTCTGTCAGGCGTGGTGTTGGAGGACTACCTGGATATTAAGAACTTCGGGGCCAAGGTCGTGGGCCTTACCTGCACCCTGGCCACTGGCAGCACCCTTTTCCTGGGCAAAGTGGTACGGGCAGAGCATTCCCACCCCGCCCCGCCCCCTCTGCCTTTCCCCCCAGGGCCCCACAGAAGCCGGGTCAGCGGGGACTCAGGCCGATGCCTGCCTTCAGGGGCTCAGTCTTGGGGAGGAGACGGGCTGGGTCCCCAGGTGTGACAAAAAAACCGGGGAAACAAAGAAGGGTGTGGACGGGTATCCATGCGGGCCTGGATGAGGCTCTCTCTGCGCTCCCCCGCTTCCCCCAACCCTGGGCCCCGAGGGGGAGGGGCTAGGGCTCTGACACGCCCCCCCCCC